GGAGCTCAAGGCCCCGAACAAGTCCGGAAGCAAGCGATGTTTAGGGAGTTTATAGAGTTCAGGGTTCGGCGTTTAGGGTTTAGGGTTCAGGGTTTAGGGTTTGGGGTTCAGGGTGTAGAGTTTATAGGGTTCAGGGTGTAGGGTTTAGCCCCGCGAATCTGTTGGAGCTCAGGTTTCTTTCAGGATCTCTCTCGTAGCTGACATTTCGTAGAGTGTCATAGTCTTTTGCTAGATTCTTCCAGGTCGCTGTTTCGTGCAGGCATCTCCTGCTGACGGCTGGCTTTGCAAGACTCAGTACTGTTCCCCAAACTCCGCCAACGGCGAAAACTCCGTTGCCCTCAGAAGGAATGCCAAAAGTGATGCTAGAGATCCCCAACGGAGCAAACAAACCAAGGAGCGTAGCCAAAAGCATTATAGAGAGGACCTCTATATGACCGCCAGCCCCATATAGTCAGAACCAGAAAGCCTGCAAGCAGAGATTCCACTATACTCCGTTCTACTTCAGAATCGAAATCTATCAAATTATAACAAGTTATACTAGATGCTAGTAAGTCAACTATATTAAATTACAGTGAATGATTTTAAAGTAAAGCAACTTCTATGGGCCCCAACCGGCCTATGAGGTTAAAGACCGCAGCCCGGTGTGCTTCGCCGAGATCGCCCGCGGCTGGTCCTGAGGGCTTAGAGACTGACAGCTTAAGACATGTAGGGTATAGTCGGTCGAGTGTATATGAAGGCTTGTCGGGTCTAGGGAGGCTCTACTGCTGCTATTGCAACAACAACAACAACAACATCTACTACTACTACTACTACTACTACTACTACTACTACTACTACTACTACTACTACTACTACTACTACTACTACTACTACTACTACTACTACTACTACTACTACTACTACTACTACTACTACTACTACTACTACTACTACTACTACTACTACTACTACTACTACTACTACTACTACTACTGCTACTACTACTACTACTACTACTACTACTACTACTACTACTACTACTACTACTACTACTACTACTACTACTACTACTACTACTACTACTACTACTACTACTACTACTACTACTACTACTACTGCTGCTACTGCTACTGCTACTGCTACTACTACTACTACTACTACTACTACTACTACTACTACTACTACTACTACTACTACTACTACTACTACTACAAGTAACTACAACAGCGACGACGACGACTACCACTACTACTCCTCCTCCTCCTCCTCCTGCTGCTGCTGCTGCTACTGCTGCTACTACTACTACTACTACTACTACTGCTACTGCTACTGCTACTGCTACTGCTACTACTACTACTACTACTACTACTACTGCTACTGCTACTGCTACTGCTACTGCTACTGCTACTGCTACTGCTACTGCTACTGCTACTGCTACTGCTACTGCTACTGCTACTACTGCTACTACCACCACCACTACCACTACCACCACCAACACCACCACCACCAATAATGAATAATACCATAAATAGTCATGGAAACAACAAAAAACATCATCATAATACACACCCCTTGTAAGCGGTCTTCCCTTTAAACTCCTCCTGGGCTGTCTCGAGGATCACGCTTGGCCTGCTGCGGCTGTGAGTTCAGGATTGAGGGTTTGAGTTTGTTTGTTGCGTTGCGGTCTTCCTCACTCATTGTTTTCGGGGGCAAGGGTTTAGGGTCCACGGTTTAGGTCTGTTAGTTCAGGTCTGTAGACTCGTCGCAGGCCTGGGTTGAACGCGAAGACTATACAGTAGGGAGGAGAGCACGAAAGAGATGCCGATGCATACAAGCCGAGAACTCCAGCAACCGGTGTAGCTGCGGCTGCAACAGAAAATGTCAGGAAACGGAGATATGAATGCCTATGGTTCCTAGCCGTACACCCTCAAGAAAGCGAGCTCAACACATGAAACCTTAATCCTGAACATCCGGCGCTCTACGCCCTGAAACATCCTGAATCCCGATCCCTCGACCCCTGATCTTGGAACCCTTTGAGTCGCTATATACCCCTAAGGCTCCATGTACCCATATAGTATATACATAGGCCTTTAAGTGCCTATATAGGGACCCCTTTAAGGCTTAAGTATCTACTATAAAGGTACATGGAGCCTTTGGGTACAGTACCGGCCAGAGCGTCTACACTGCCTTGTCAAGAAAGCCGCAAAGAATGTCACAGAGCTTGCCGGGCAGATCCTGGCAGATGAACTCTCACCGTTGCGGATGCCGCACTACTGCTCGTAATTTATTTTTTGGATTTAACTTAGTTGGCGAGATTGAAGTATAATTTTCTTTGCTGCCTCTTCTTATATCTTGCAGCCACAAGCGCTGTGCAGAACCGCTGCTACATGCTGCCACGATTCACTGTGTCTCTGAACCAAGCCACTACTGGTAGGACCCGCTACAGAGCTGTAAAGCTCTCACGGCTCATCATGTGAGCAGTTCTCTAGATTTGGATCCCTTTTTATTTCCCCCAAAGCTCACGGCACCCTTGCAAAAAAAATGAGGGAGAAGAGATCCTAATTTAGAGAACTGCCCCTCTGGAGCTTCAGAAATAAATTAGTAGTCTCTGTTTCCCTGCTTCTTGGACCCCGGTGCCTGAAAGGGTACTCTCGGAGCTATGAATCCTCAAGTTCCCTGAAGCGTCAGTCTGCCAAAATCCAAGTTCGGCGGCTGGCATCTGGCATTTAAGTTTCCGCATGTTAGCGAATTTGCATTCACAACGCAGCCTTCTGTGGGCTAACTCATGAAAGCACTGCATGCGCAGCGTGCTGCTGGTCTGCCGGACAATGTCACGGGCAAGTGAATCCCCCGTCTGTGTAAGAAGGAGCGACACGCTGCTTTTACAAATACCCGCCAGGAGGACGTCATGGTCTGGCAGGGCGGATAGAAAGAAATGCAATTCTTGTGCCATCGCCGATGCCTGTGGCGAACGGAGCCACCGTGGAGAAACTGTAATCAAGTTTGCTGCGGGACATTGTTTGTCTCTAATGTTGTTTAGCATGCCCATGAACACATGGTCACGGTGTGCAATTCCCAGGTCTCACCAATAAGCTGACCCTTTGGGCACTTCTCCTTGGAAGCAACGGCCGAAATGCTCCTTGTCACTCTCAAAGGCTCTACTGGAGATCGCGAGCAATCCATCAACAACTTGTGACCACTATGCTCCAGGAGAATACACGTCTGAGGAACCAAAACAGTGTCTTCTTTGAAAAAAGGGACGCAAGAGGCCTTGAACATGCCATATGCTTCGTGCCTGATATTCCAAGGCATGAACCTTTGCAGCACGCAACAAGCAACCAAGCAAACACGCGGCCCAGCAACTCGCCACCAAGCAGGAAACAAAATAGTGAACAATTACATCTAGACATAGGCACAAAACCAAAACACCTAAGCCCCAAACGCTAACAACAAGACCAAGCACGCGTTCAATTATTCAAGCCCCAGAACGGGGCATTCAGATCTGCTGCTCTAGTCTTTCGCACGAGAAAACCTAAACTCCAACGCCCAGCCAGAAAGCCCAATACCCCTTATGTAATTAAGGAATATACCTTAGATTATAAAGGGATTCATATTATGATTTAAGCTATATTCCTTAATTAAGGGGTATGGGCTCTCTGGGCAAAAGTCCATTCTATACGGGTGCACAGCCACAAGTATGCGGTTGCTATAACAGCACTTTACAGCCGATGAGGCTTACTAAATTCGTCGCATCCGAAACCCTCAAGCCTGAACCACAAGAAACCTAAGCATAAACAACATCCTCGGCCATAAACCCCACATACACCCCCAAAAGTAAGTATATATACATTATGGTCTAACACCTACAAACAGCCATCGCAGCTAAACCTCACCTAAACCCGTCTGCAGTAAAACCCTAAACCCCCAAACCCCGAAACCCTGAACCCCTGAACTACCCTTATAGTACCCTTGTAGAGCCCTTTAAAGGAACCCCTATAACTCCATTTAAACCCCTAAACCCCTAAACCGCTGCTAGGAGCTGGGCCCAAAGGTCTCCGTCCAAGCTGGCTCCGGCAGCGGAGGATGCTTCCTTTGGGGCTCCTACTGTTGATGGACAAAATCCTGCATATACCATAGTTCCCATAGTTTCGGGTCCTTAAGGTAATGCAGGATTTTGTCCATCAGCGGTAGGATTCCTTTATAGGTTTAGGATTTGGGTTTTAGGGTTCCTTTACAAGTTCAGGATTTAGGTTCCTCTATTAGATTTAAAATGTTGCGGGTTCCCTTGGAAGGGGTTCGATAAGCTTGTTTGTCATGGGTTCCTTTAAGGGCTCCCTTAAAAGGGATTCTATAAGCTTATAACTTATAAGGGTGCCTTGAAGGCAGGTTCTAGTTATGTCCAGGTTTGAGGACCTGGAGTTGGGGATCTCTGAGTGACGGAGAGAGAGTTATCATCGGGCGCCATGTGAGGCTCTCACGTGTCCGCGGCTGTGCGGCCCCGACCACCAAACGAAGCAGGGCTTTTGCTAGGAGGCCTCAACAGATGATCCTTCTGAAGAAAGAGCAAGGAACATGAAAAACACCCAACAGTATATTCACATACTCATCGAGCACTGCCCGTGCCCTGAGCTTTTTGGCTACCCGCCTGGCTGAACCTCGTCTGTCAGCTGCCGCGAGCTTGGCTATTCCGGGCCACACTTGCAGAGCGAATGAAGTTGCCCGACCTGTAGCCGACTTGGCAAAATTGCCGTTCTTCGAGATGCCACCCCTCATTAAATGAGGGGCAACACGGACTGGGCTGTCGCTCCTGTCCCATTTCAACGTTGCAAAGATGATGGGTGTAGTTCCTCAGCAGATCACACCCTGCTTTAGTAGGTGCAGAATTCCATCGAATTCTTCAAAGACGTCTTTAGCCAACGCCAGACGCTGTCTTCCACTCTCTACCCAGCACTCCAAAGGTGCATTTTGCCGAATTGCTTGTCTCACGAAACTGAAACTGAGGCTACATGGCGGTTTGTCCGCTACAGAGCCTCCAAGCCCAAACCATTCAGGAAACTGTAGCCACCGGTGCCTCTCTGCTCCAGATGAGTGGGCGATGAAGTTATGTCGGTCATGCACAGCATGCACCACACGCCCTGGCAGCAGGCGGGACTCTTATCCACCCCTTGTTGCAGCCTAACCCATGCATGTGGTCTATAGACCTCACAGCTACTTGCCCAACTGTTCCCTTGACAAACTTGGAACTTTTACAGCTTCTGAACTGTGTGGACGACAATCTCCCGCCTAGGAGTACCGGAGTAATTAGGGTGTACTCGAGCAAATACTCGGGGTGCTTTACATGGGGCGCCAATGCCAGTCTTCCACATTGAGTCGGGTATTGCTTTGGTCACCCGCAGGTCAACATGTCTTCCTCAAGTGTCATTCTTGCAGACTGGATCGCAAACTTAATCACCCCGAACCCCCAAGACCCCTCCCCGTGCGCACTGAAGCCTCCTCGAGGGTCTGCGACAAGGCGTCGTTGTCCATTCGCCCAGCGCAGATGCCGTGCGCATCCCACCATCGCCCGTCAACCTCCAACATGGATGTGTGTGTGTGTGTGTGTGTGCACGTATACATACATATATTTACATATGTATATGTATATGTATAATTATATATATATATATCTCTCTCTCTCTCTCGCTCTCGCTCTCTCTCTCTCTCTCTCTCTCTCTGTCTCTGTCTCTGTCTCTGTCTCTCTGTCTCTCTCTCTCTCTCTCGCTCTCTCTCTCTCTCTCTCTCTCTCTCTCTCTCTCTCTCTCTCTCTCTCTCTCTCTCTCTCTCTCTCTCTCTCTCTCTCTCTCTCTCTCTCTCTCTCTCTATCTCTCTCTCTCTCTATCACTCTCTCTCTCTCTCTCTCTCTCTCCCTATGTTTGTGTGTGTTTGGGTGTGCCCGTGTGTGTGCGCGCGGGTGTGTGTCTGCGTCTGTGTGTGTGTGTGTGTGCCTCTGTGTCTGTGCGTCTGTGTGTCTGTGTGTGCGTCTGTGTGTCTGTGCGCGTAGAACAACATATACATGCACATATGCATATTCATAAACACATATACATGTATATTTATGTACATGCATGCAAACGGTCTGGTGAATGTGAAAACATACATATACACATACTTATATACGTACATACATATGCTTTTATATTTTCGTATGTGTATACATGCATACATGTATAGACGAATGTTGATAAGCGCCTCTTTGACCCACAGTCCTTTGTTCATGCACCGGTGGATATCTGTACATATATATATATATATATATACACATGATTCAGTGTACGTGTATGTACACATATATCAATATGGGTGTATCTACATACTAGTTACTAGCATGCATACATACATTGACATACATACAGATACACATACACACTTAGATAGATGGGGTGATAGCTAGATGGGTAAACAGAAACACAAACAGATACACAGACTTATAGGCAGAACCACAGATCTATAGACAGCCAGACCGATGGATGAAATAGACGGATAGACGGATCGACAGAATAGACAGGTGGACAGATCGATGGACAAACAAATAGATAGATATGCGGACAGATAGACACATAGTTAGGTGGATATACAGATAGATGGACACAGAGATAGATACATAGATAGATAGATAGATAGACAAATAGATAGACGGATATAGACAGATAGATAGACAGATGGACCGATTGATAGAATAGATAGACAGATAGATTGATAGATAGATCGATGCTTAAACAAAACAGGCAGAGAGATAGACAGATCAATATGTAGATCGTTAGATGGATAGAGAAATGTAGGTAGATATACATATGAGTGGTTGTCAATATTAGGGTCCCTTTTTGGGTCCCTATTATAGTACGGCACCTAATATTTCGGACCAAAAAAGGAACATAATTTTGACAACCAGCCATATACTATATATGGCTGGTTCCATATACATACATTATACATACATCTCTTTCTATTTATATGCCCGCGGTATGCATACAGCGCCACCAAATGTTCAAAAACAGGCTCGTGCAGCTCGCCTTCACGATGGCGCTCCTCATGCAGATCAGCGGCTTCTGGGTGGTGGTCCAAATGTCCAACATAAGCACCTCCGGGTTGGGCGAACTCCGTATCTCGTCTCCCGATACTCCCATGGTGAGCTCCTCAGGTAGGGCCCGGAACTGCACGGAGTCGCAGGACCACTGGAGTTGCAGAACGATTTTTTGGCCGCCGGAAGCCGTGTGCAAGCTGTCGAAGACGATTGGATGGCTGACGCAGTCCTGCACCGTGGGCGTGTGCTTTCCAAACCGAGTATCTGTGTGCAGCAGTCTCAATAGCTGCCTGGTTCAGATCACCGTTTGCCCAGAAGGCACAGACGAGATGTGTGCTTTCTTTATCCACACCGTGAAACACTGTGTACCAAGCACAAGCTAAGCAAGACTTGGCTCAACGACTGCTTCCATTAAGCTGCAATGTCCAAAGACCTGCGCAGGCCAGGCGATGCGGACCAGGTTCATGCCGTAGAACTCGGCGCCAGCCCGCATGTTGCGCAGTATCCGTGCCCGCGCCTGCAACTAGGAACACCGCACAGCGTCAGGTTCAGTGCCCTCGGTGTCGGTCTTTTCTGTTCTGACAACATGACCTTGTAATTCGGAGGGTTCAAAAACGAAGGTGTACTGACATGACTCATAACGCCTAGCTGATCTCCTTCGAACCTAGAACGGGGATTCAAGTGCTAGCCTTGTAGAAGCCTTGTCAAGGGGTGCAGGCTGAGACTTGGACACAGTCAAATGGGAAAAGGAGGGACCCTTAATGGGGACCCCTACCCTATAATGGGCTATATAATGGGTATATAATAGCTATATTAAGGGTATATACCTAAGGGTCCCTCCTTTTACCCTTGGACATAGGTGCTCATATCACTCATATGCCCTGATCCCTCCAGGCTTTTGCACATTTATGGGTGTGTAACCATCACCGGACGGCTGCTTCTGTCTTCATTCATCCCTACCGCGATTTCTACTGCATGACGATGGTGGTGGAGCGGACTAGCACGAGGACGACGAAAAGGACGATGATCATGAGCAAGATGTGTCATACACTTCATCATGCTCTTCGTTTCGGGCGTGCTCATCATCTTGATCACGGCTCTAGTGGGGGCAACATCTTCATAACAGTCATCATAGTCCGCATGCTTCACAAAGGGCCAGTTGAATGTCAGTCCTCAGCTGCATCACAGAAGGTCACTTGCATGTTCCTCGCTCTCATTGGCAGCAAGATACGCAGTATCCTTCCCACCATCCTCTTCATCGCCATAACCCTCAATATCAACGTGATGAAGATCTTCTACCTCTGCCAGATCCTCGCGATCTTCCAGCAAAAGCAGCAGTCATCGTCCTAGTCGAAGGTAGTAATTGTAGTAGTCGTCGTCGTGGCGCGGTGGTGGTGATGATGGTGGTCGTGGTGGCGGTCGTCGTCGTCGTCGTGGTAGCAATAGCAGCGGTAGTAGTAGTAGTAGTAGTAGTAGTAGTAGCAGCAGCAGCAGCAGTCGTAGTCGTAGTCGTAGTCGTAGTCGTAGTCGTAGTCGTAGTCGTCGTCGTCGTCGTCGTCGTCGTCGTAGTAGTAGTAGTAGTAGTAGTAGTAGTAGTAGTGGAGTAGCAAAGCAGCAGAATAGCAGTCGCAGTAGAAGCCATAAACTGGAGACTTCCTGAAACCATCCTGCCCGAAATCCTGAAACCATGGACCCTAAGGGTTTAGGGTTTAGGGCTTAGGGTTCCTAAACCCTGAAGCCAAAAACATAGAGCTCTAAACAGCAAATAGCCTGTTACAGTCCGAATAAGAACCGGCCGTGACACACTCCACCATACAACTTTACGTAGTACAGCTGCTACATTCCGGTGCAACCCCTAAACTCTATAGCAACATTATAGAACCCTTGGAAGGAGCAATGACAGTGCCCCTGCGCTCAACCACACAGTATCGGTTAGGAGCCCTAGACCCTCTCCTAATTCTTGAAGCTGTTCTAGTAAAATATAGTGGCCTTAATGGTTAGAATAGGGAATTGGGGCTCGTTATACAATAAGTATAGTAAGGAACCACCGAAATAGTACTGGTAATTATTTAGGCCCCTCTATTATAGTACCTGCTCCACTTTGAAGGAGAACGTCTCCACCTCTTCAATGGTGCCTAGGTGCCGAGTTCTAAAGGTCTGAGTTTAGGGTTTAGGGTTTGGGGCTTCCTGTCGCGTGGGTCTCGGCTTTGAACAAAGAGTAATATAGGAGCCTTTGCATTTAGAATAGGCTGTTGGGATGTGTTGTACTATACCTGTAGTAAGGACCCCCCCCCAAAAAAAAATATATATAACTATTTGGGCACCAATATTGCCCGTCTACTGGCCTTGTAGCCTCGTAGCAACCTTAAACTCGTATAGCTAGTAACCTGCACGGAACTTCTTAACGACCTTACCGTAACCCTGATCATGACTCTTATTGTGACCCTATAACCAGGAAAGCTCTTGGCTTGGTGGAAGTAGTCGTAGGGCTCTTCTCTCAACCAAGCGTGAGGGACTTCAGCATAAGGTCCCCAAAAGCATAATTAATGGACATGGTCTGTTAGGGCCTAATTCCATAATAGTCGTGTATATGGACCCTCTGCGACTGATAACAAGGTACCATGTTTTAAAATTACGCCCAGGGGAACCCCGATTATGTGCTGCAATAGGTTGGGTGTTGCACCTCTTGAGCCTAAGTCTCGGGTTTCGAGCTTTGCAGCAGTTCCG